CTCTCTCTTTCTCTCTCTCTCTCTCTCTCTCTCTCTCTCTCTCTCTCTCTCTATTTCTCTCTCAATAAAGTTTTTTAAGTCAACCATCCGTTGCTTTTTTAAGTCAATTTGTAGCCAAAGCTCGATTGAATTTCTTAGCTTTTATTTTGTTTATATATATATATATATAAACATTTTAGGTATAGATTTGATGAGTGAGTGAGTGGGTGAGTGAGTAAAGGAGAGCTGAGAGCGAGAGAGAGTATGTTTACTAACTTTTTTTTTGATATGCACTTCAATTGACTAAAATTCAATTGACTATATATTTATAGTATTTTTTTCAATGTTGTTATATTTGTTGGCGTTATTATCAGTAAAAACTAGTAGTAGTAGATATAATATAATTGTAAAAAACTAGTATCAAATAAAACTAATTTACTCATTGAAAAAATATACAAATAAATAGGTTTTCTTATGCGGCAAATGTTTACAAAATATTTTATTTTTTTTGTGTATTAATGTCTTATTATATGACATTGGCTTTTAATGGTATGTATGTGTGTTGTGTATGTATGTGTGTGTGTGTGTGTGTGTATGAGTATGTGTATGTATGTGTGTGTGTGTATGTGTGTGTGTGTATGTGTATGTGTGTGTGTATGTGTATGTATGTAATTTTATATATATATATATATAAATATTATTTGGTTTACAATAATAGGTAGTAATAATTATTATATTTTTTTTGATCATGAATATTATTTTTTGAAATTATTTTTTTACTTTTTAAAATAATTTTTTAATTAACATATCATTATAGTACAGTATAATATAATAATAATAATAATGAAATTAATTATAATTTATTAATATAGTGATTTAATCAAATGTATTTATAGTAGAAATTTTAATTTTATTTATTAATCCTATTATTTATTAGATTTGACACAAAAAAAAATTATATACGAAAAAAAAGTTTATATTAATTACTACAGTATTTAACTAATGTTATTGTAATGTATAGCCTATGTATATAAAAAAAAGTAATATATATATATAATGTAAACAAATTTACTATACTTTAAGGGATAAGTAGTTATTTATTGTGTTTTAATCTTATATTATTAGTATTAGTATTATTATTACCAGTAGTTAAGTATGCAGTTAACAAACAACATGTTATTTAAAACACAAAAAAAACTTATTTTGTGTTTTTATTTTTATTATAATACTATATTATATTAATTTTATTTTCTATATGTGTTTTACAAATCATTGATTGACTATATATTATATATATAAAGTGTAATAACAATCAGTTAAATGGTATTAACAAACAATATAATACTGTATATAATATATAAAGTATATAAAAAATAATAGTAGAAATAAATTATTATATAATATAACTACGAAAAAAAATAAATAAAATTGTTTTCAAATACACAGCTTGTTTAGGACTATAAAAAAATAATGTGATTTTGTTGTTGTTTTGTTTGGTTACCCCCCTATTGATGTGAAACAATTTTGTCACTGAAAAAAATTTATATATATATATATATACCGTATACACCGTATATATATATATAAAATAAGTTTTCATTGTTGTTGTGTCAAAGTTAGGGTCATATAAATTAATAACCCAATAGTTTGCCAAAAAAAWATATATATATATATATATATATATATATATATATATATATATATATATATAATATTTTATTAGTAAATAAAAATTATATTTTTTATTGGTATAATTAATTAATTTTTTGTTTATATTAATATCATAAAATTAATAATGGGCTAAATAATAATAATAAATTAGCTATATATCTATATAGATAGCAATTTATTTTAAATATATAGTTAAATTAGTTTTATTTTATTTGAATACAAAAAAAAGTAAAAATTATTTTAATTTATAATTTTGTTGCTATTATTATACAGTATCCAAAAGTGTTTAATTAAAAAATAAATTTTTTACAAATATATGTTAATTTATAACTTATATGTAAAATATTTTTTTATGATCCTAATTAGTATTAATTAGATTGTTTTATCTAGATTAAATTTATTAATAATAAAATTGATTAAATAATTAATTTATTTTTTAAAACTTGAAATATTATTGCCATATATGTAATACAAAAAATATATATATATATATAATATATATATATATATAAATATTAAATGTTTTTTAAAGAAATAATATAATACTTAATGTTATGTTTAAAATTAAAAATGTTTATGATTTCATTAGTGAAAATGAATTTTTAAACATAAATTTTTCCCTTAAAAATAAAACATTATTAATAAAAATTTTCTCATTAGTAGTAATAAGGGAGAAAACATATGTTTTAATTTTTAATTTCAAAAAATAATGGGTTTGTTTTAAAAAGATATATTTTTTGACATAAAAATTATAGAAAAATATACTCTACTTTACTGTACTATTAAGTAATTTAAAAGTTAAGTTTATTATAATAAACAAAACTATATATATATATATTAATATATATACTGTATATATATAAATTAATATATATAAACAGCAAAATGCAATTTAAACGATCAAAAAATATTTTATCCACAAAAATATTTATGTTTATTATTATTATTAAAATTTAACAATTAGTTGTGTGTATATGTGTTTTGTTAAAATTTTAAAAATGTATGAAATTTACAGTATTTATATATATATATGTGTGAAATATTATATATATATATATACTTAATTATTTGAAAAATGTGTAATAGTAGTAATTAATAAAAATTATGTATATTAATAAATAAAATAAATAATAATTATATATCATAATAGTATAATAATAATAATAACAACAAAAATTGTTATTAAATTAATTATTTAATAACATAAAAATATTAATAGTAGTTAAACATTGTATTGTATATATATATATATGTGTGTGTATGTGTGTGTGTGTGTGTGTCTATGTGTGTGTGTATGTGTGTGTGTGTTTGCTGGTGTAACTAATGACACGGCTATTATTATTAGTATTAGTATTATTATATTGTACAGTGTATTGATGTGCACCGGTATGTAGTAGTAGACTATGTGTATGTCCACCGATGCTATTGAAAGAGAGAGAGAGAGAGAGAGAGAGAGAGAGAGAGAGAGAGAGAGAGATTTTAACGCACGGCTAACTGTAACGATAGGTTTGTTTTTCAATAGACATTAAGTAAGGGTTGGATTGGATTTGATTTTTTTTCGGCCATCATTTGCAGCAATCATTTGAAAAATTTCTTTTACTCTCTCTCTCTCTCTCTCTCTCTCTCTCTCTCTCTCTCTCTCTCTCTCTCTGTATATTAAAAACAAATAGTTGAAACCATTTGACCAGAAATTTTTGTATGACTTTCCCCATTCATTCATTCAGACTACTAGTGCTAACAAATAAAAACCGCTGAGTGTATGGCTACCCATCCTATATAATAATAATAATAATATATATGAAATGTAAGAAAAAATAACTATTATATACATTATATACGGTTTATATATAACTAATTATTGTGTAATATTGTATAAGAAAATGCATTATACATAGCATTCCTCTAATACTGTAAATAATATAATAATATATATATATATAAAACTAAATAAATCTAACATTATATATATATATAACAAATTTGTTTGTTAAATTAAGCTACAAATAATTTATTATCAACTAAATTAATAATAATAATAAAAATAAAAGTTTATATATATATAGGCTATATAAATGCATAAATCATTAAATAATTATCAAAAATGTTGCTTAAATTAAGTAATACAGTATATTATAGTATTATATAATAAATAAATGGTAGACTTAACTGTAGTATATATGTGTAATACAGTTAAGTATTTATTTATTTTTTTTCAAATTGTATAATAAAGTTATTGTAAATATTAAATATTAAATAATATAATTATTATTTGAAAATTGTGTTTTTAAATATTTTTTTCATTATATGAGTATATAATATAATTTATAGATTATGTGATTGAAATGTAATATATATTGTTATAGTATTTAATAGGAGAAAAAACACACACAGAAAACAAAAAGTATTAGTAAAATAAATGAATCAGAAAAACAACAATCATTTTTAAGGCTATCCATTGGGATATATATATATACAGTATATACTGGTAGTAGATATCCATTGAATTATTTCAACTTAAAATACTATTGAAAGTGATTGAGAGTAAGAGAGAGAGAGAGAGAGAGAGAGAGAGAGAGAGAGAGAGAGAGAGAGAGAGAGAGAGAGAGAGAGAGAGAGAGAGAGAGAGAGAGAGAGAGAGAGAGAGAGAGACGATTTGCTTGAGAGATATGCTTCAAAAGACTAATACAACCAAAAAAAAAAAATAAAACAAAAAACGTTTTAATTAAACATTTCATGCGTTTTCTGATGTCTTTTTATGTGTAAAACTATTCACATCTTATATATACTATATATATATATAAAGAGAGAGACAATAATGTAATGATTAACAAAATAAAACACAAATAAAAAAAATAAATAAAACTAAAGTAAAGTCATTCAATTCAAATCAAGGAATTCAATGCTTTTATATATATATTATATTTAAACTGTATTTAAAAAAAAAATAAAAATAAATCTCTAATAGTATACTAAAGAAGTTTACTATTACTCTCTCTCTCTCTCTCTCTCTCTCTCTCTCTCTCTCTCTCTCTCTCTCTCTCTCTCTCTCTCTCTCTCTTAGTCTCTCTCTTGGTCTCTCTCTTTGCACTCTTTAGACTATTATTAATATCCAAAAAAATTAAGTAAATAATTAACTTTATATATATATATATAGAATAATAGTGTTGTAATAAATAAAAAAATTAATTAAAAATTACATACAATGTATGTACAGTATAAATAGATAAATAAAATTGAAATCTAAAATGACATTAAATATAATATAATATTATTATGACTAATAAAATATTATTATTGTTTGTATATTTAATTTTATTAATTAATAATTATGTTTAAATATATATATAAAGTCATTGACAGAAGGGTGGTAACTGGTTTTTGGATACTATCTCTATAACCAATTGAGCTAGAACAATATAAATTTTTTAGGAAACATGGAATCATGGAACGGATAGCATAATATAGTTATATTATTTCTCATTGCGCTTATGTAGCTTAGCACCGGTATGTGCATTATCTCAAAAACTACAAGAGATAGCACAATAAAACCAAAAGTATAATATACTAGGTAAAATTTCATTAGACACGTGTTTCAGGATTTTTCTAAAAATTATATCGTTTTTTAACAAAAAATTAAAAAATGGGAAAATTATAAAACTTTGATATGGAATATTAAAAAAGTGTCAAGGTATTTTATAAAATTTTTAATAAAATTAAATTTTATTTTTAATGCAGAATAATTCGTATATTAAGTGTTTTTAATTAATTTAATTAAATAATAGTTTATTTAATATATTATGTATTTAATGTATTAATATAGTAAATTATGTAATTAAAATATAAAACATGTTATATAATAGAAAAATAATGATTATTAAATAAACTATTATTTATTGAAATTAATTAAAAATACTTAATATACGAATTGTTCTGCATTAAAAATAAAATTTAATTTTATTAAAAATTTTACAAAATACCTTGACACTTTTTTAATATTCCATATCAAAGTTTTATAATTTTCCCATTTTTTAATTTTTTGTTAAAAAACGATATAATTTTTAGAAAAATCCTGAAACACGTGTCTAATGAAATTTTACCTAGTATATTATACTTTTGGTTTTATTGTGCTATCTCTTGTAGTTTTTGAGATAATGCACATACCGGTGCTAAGCTACATAAGCGCAATGAGAAATAATATAACTATATTATGCTATCCGTTCCATGATTCCATGTTTCCTAAAAAATTTATATTGTTCTAGCTCAATTGGTTATAGAGATAGTATCCAAAAACCAGTTACCACCCTTCTGTCAATGACTTTATATATATATATATATATAAAGAAACTGTGAAATAAATTGCTAACTTATGCGTCAAAATAAATAACAAAATAACTATAAAATAAAATAATAATAATATTAATTAACAGTTTTTAAAACCTGACAGTAATTTTAACGCTACACTGAATACTATGTGTGTCTTTTAAAAATAAAAAAATAATTAATATAATAAAACTTACTGTATATACACTTACTGTTTGTTAAGTTAATATTTAAGTAATTTTAAATTTTTGTTAAACAAAAAAAAATAATAATAAATCTATCTTAAAGTTAGTAAAATTTATAGTTTAGTATTCAAATTTAATATATATATATATATTATATAAAGTACATGTATTTAAACTCTAATATACAGTACATATATAGTATACTATACATATTATATTGAATTGATGTACAAAAAAGTGCATAAAGTGCACACACACACACATACGTACATATGCATACATATACACACATACATACATATATACACATACATATATATACACACATACATACATATACACACATACATACATATACACACATACATACATATACACACATACATACATATACACACATACATACATATACACACATACATACATATACACACATACATACATATACACACATACATACATATACACACATACATACATATACACACATACATACATATACACACATACATATATATATACACATACATACATATAAACACATACATACATATACATACATACACACATATATCTAAATATATATACATATATACACACTTACATACACACACATAATTATATAATGTTTAGTATTAGAGTAGTACTCCCTACTTAAAAAAAAACCTACCAGTGCTCAATACTATTACTGTATTTTAGTTGACTATTGTTTTTTATATTATGTCATATCAGTCCTGTATTTAGTCTATTGTATTGTTTAGTGTGAGCGCAGATGTGCAACAAATTTAAAGTGTAATTAAAAGTGATTTAAACTATCATTTGTTTGTTCAAAAAGAGAGATAAATTTATTTATATATATATATATATATATTAAGATATATTTGAATGCTATGTATATATATATAACTGTTGTCTAAAAATAAAAATTTAGTAAAACTTGAAATTACTTTATATTAAGACATTGACTAATAATAATAATTGTTGTGAACATTGATGTAAATTAATATAATACTAAATGTTGTGTACTGTATGTTAACTAACAATAAAAATAATAGTAATCGTAATAATAACTTCAAACATGAAAATAATAATAATAATAATAAAAACTAATTGTATTAATAAATAAAAATTTAATTTCTATTAATAAATTTTCTTAACTCTCAAGTCATTTATATTATATATATATATATTTAAGACACAAAATACAATACAAAACTGTTTTATTTATTTGTTTTTTAAATAAATAGATTATTGTATTTTTTTGGTGAATTATAAACATATTAAATATAAGATAAATTATATCCTATATATATATATATATAAAAAAGTTTATTGTATTTATTAT